TTTTTGCATTTCCACCAGCAATGAATATTACAGTTGTTCCTCATGAACATTCACCGTGATTTTTTGCTTTTAGCTATTCTCGTAGCATGTAGTACTATTTCATTGTGGTTTAATGTACATTTCCCTGGTGCCATGTTGTGGTTTTAAAGAGAATGGCCCCATAGGTTCATATATTTGAACACTTGGTCCCCACTTGGTAGAACTTTTTAGGAAAGATTAAGAGGTGTGGTCTTGTTAGAGGAGGTGTGTTACTGGGGGCAGACTTGAGGTTTCAAAGGCCCAGGCCATGCCCAGTTAGCTCTCCTTTTGCCTCCTGCTGTGGCTCAGGATGTAAGCACTCAGCTGGTGCTCCAGCTCCATATCTGCCTGCCTGTTGCCATGCTCCTGGTCATGATGGTCATGGTCTCACCCTCTGAAACCGTCAGACCCAATAAACTCTTTTATAAGTTGCCTTGGTCATGGTGTTTCTTTATAGCAACAGAATAGAAAAGTAACTAAGCCGGCCATGGTGGCACACATCCTGACTAGATGAGTATGGATTTCATCCTGTAAGGCAAGTTTGGTACCAATTTCAATTAATTAAACAAATGCATTCCAGTACTCCCTGCTAACAGCATCTTTGTTTCCAGGGGAAAACACATATATCTTAATACTTTTTTCATGGTGTAGTTTGCTTTTACAAAGGCAGTCACAGTATGCCATCCCAAGACTTGCAATTCTTAATCACTATACCATGCTGTTGTCTCACAGGGTTCTTTCTCTCAAGAGCCATCTCTAATAGGGCAGCACTTTGAAGGCTTCCTGTTTCCTCTCCTCCTGGGGGGAATCTGCTTCTCCCAAGGGCTACTGCTCTGATTATGCCTTCCCCATTCCCAGGTGGCTGATTATAACTGTTTTCCATCGTTCACTCCATGGTTCTGCACCTGAATACCACTCGCCACCAGGTTTGTTCCTCCGCTTCCTCTTATAACTGTTCTACCTTGAGAAAACCAGACCTCCTAGACCCTGTACCTCCGCTTGTTTTTAGTAACGAGGTTTTAGAAAGGTGGTCTTAGCCACAGAGTCATGCCCTCAGCCCCAGTTCTTGGTTCCATATTCAGGGAACTGAAATAAAGGCTCACAGGTTGTGAAGTAGCAGGGTAACTTTATTCAAGCCAAGCAACCGTACAGATCATGAACAGGCCACCAAGAGTGTAAACAGGCCCTGCAGCGACAGCTCAGTAAGAGCACTTACAGATATGAGTTTGAATGACTAGTACCCACAATGAAAAACAAGAGAAACGGCCCGGAATGGTGGTTCACACCTTTAATGGCAGCACTAGGAACAGATTGGAGGAACTCTGAGCTTGAGGCCAGCCTGGTCTACAAAGCAAGCTCCAGGAGAGTCAGGACTACATAGGGAGACACTGTCTCATAAAACCAACAGCCAGGCAGCACTCAGCCTGCAACCCTGGTGTTGCAGGGCAGATAAGTAGATCACAGCTCTCCAGTCAGCCAGCTTAGCTAAAATGGGCAGTTTCTGGTTTAGTGGAAGACCCTGTTTTAGAATAAGGTGTAGAGCAATAAAGTAACAGTATAGATAGAGAAGGGCTGGTTACTAAGAGGTGGAGTTTGGGTGGTTTTTGACTTGGACAAATTTGTTTTATATAACCATCTTGCTTCAGTGTAAGATCTTTTCCATAATACATCTGATTTTAACCACTGGCATGCTGTTATGCACAGATGATGGTAAACATGGGAGTCTCCCTAAAGCTTCACTTAGGAAGTTTGCCTTATGGCACATAAAACTCAAACAGATTCAGGCCCCATCTGTGTGTAATATTGATGGCTTTGAGGGAAGATTCTTACTCCATTGTTCAGAATGGGGTATGGACAGAATGTGTGCAGTTAAGGGTTAATTAAGTATGTTAAAAAACATGTGTCCATGCATAGCCCAAACCAAGTGGAGTCCCAGGTTGCTAATTACTCAGTTGTCTGCTTCATTGGGGATTTTAGTAATCCCCCCTCCCACCCAAGACAGGCTTTCACTCTGTAGCCCTGGCTGTCCTGGAACTCAGAGAAATCCAGCTGCCTGTCTCTAGCTCCTGTGTGCCGGGATTTTAGTAGTCTTCAAAGAGATTTGTTTTTTTGAGACAGGGTTTCTCTGTGTAGCTTTGCGCCTTTCCTGGAACTCACTCTGTAGCCCAGGCTAGCCTTGAACTCATGGAGATGCGCCTGGCCCTGCCTCCCGAGTGCTGGGATTAAAGGCGTGCGCCACCACCGCCTGGCGAGATTCTTATATATTTAATCCAATCTTTAAAATTATCCTTCTACCTTAACATCTAGTCAGTTACTTCAAAGACATGAGAGCTCTGTAATGTCTTCCACAGAACTTCTTTGGTGGAGGTATACAATTCTCTCTAAACTTATTTAGGTAAGGATGTGGCCTTCTTGACACAAGCAACCTCATTTATTTTGGTTCAATCTGAGAGGACAGTCCAGCAAGGCAAGGAAGATACAAGTACAGCTCAGGGTGGCCACAGGAGAAGCAGCTGGTCCCACCGTATCTGCAGCATTGATAAGTGCTGGTGCTCAGCAGGCTGCTTCTGCACTACAGCTGGCCCACATCAACTTTTGATCAAGACCGAGGTGGCAAAAGGGAGAAGTGGGGCTGGCAAGATGGGAAAAGTGTTTGTCACAAAACCTTTGCATTTTTTCTTGGAACATACTTGATAGGACCAATTCTTACCTGGCATGACCTTCCTGTCACACACATGACAAATAGAAAAAAAGGGTGCGTGAGACCTGGGGAAGGGAGACATTTCTGAGGTCACTTAGCATGCACCAGGCTGAATTTGGTCTCCCACTCGATGTAAGCAGCAGGGAACTTTGTGGCGACCTGGTTTCATGTAGTTCAGAATGGCCCCACTCCCTAGTTCCTCCTGCCTCTATCATCCCAAATGATAAGACCACGAGCCTCTCACCACCCTCATTTACAAACTAAAAAATTTAACACTTTTGCAAAATACTTAATAAAGTTGATTTCTGTTCAAGTTTATAATACCTGAGCATAGCCAGGTGCAGTGGTTCAAGCCTTTTAATACCAGCACTAGAAAGGTAATCAACTCTTTTGAGTTACAGGCCAGCCAAGGCTATCATGAGACCTTGTCCCAGAAAAAAAAAAAGCAAAATGAAAGATAAAATAGCTAGGCATGTTGGCACACACCTGTAACCCCAGCACTTGACAGAAGTGGCAAGGCCACACAAGTTCAACAATCTAGTCAATGAGTTCCAAGTCAGTTATGGCCAGTTGGAGATCTTGTATTTAACAACCAAAAAAAGAGAGGGGGGCAGCAGAAAATGTTATGTGCTAAGCCATCTCTCTAGCCATTTATCACCTGAGACTCATAGGCTGCATGGACCCATAAGCTATGAAACTCAACATTTGTTACTCAGTGTCACAATTCAAGACTTGTTCGCAGTTAGACAACCTGATTATACAAACTAGACCTGATAGCGTCGCAGGAAGAGCTGAGGAGGAGGCCCACCTGGTCTACAGAATGGTTTCCAGAACAGCCAGAGCCATTAGAGAGAAACTGTCTTGAAAAAACCCAACCCAACCCAACCCAAGACTTTAGAAGTGAAACTGAATCTAGGTACACTCTACCCTAAACTTAGCAGTCTTATCATTGCCCATCCTGTACCTACAGTTTTTCCAAAACCTATTACAGTGAGCTCACCTTTACACTTGGTAACACTAGGGCTTTCTTCCAGAAGCACCGCCTACCTTGTGACTTTGCACTGACTTTTCCACCTCTAGATTCACTCAAGTCCAGATACCCAGCTCAGCTCCCACCTGGCTCAATGTCTGATCTATCCTTTGTTAGAACTTACTTATTTTAACCTTTAGAAACCATACAATAGGGGCTGGAGAGATGGCTCAGCGGTTAAGAGCACTGATTGCTCTTCCAGAGGACCTGAGTTCAATTCCCAGCAACCACATGGTGGCTCACAACCATCTGTAATGAGATCTGGTGCCCTCTTCTGGCCTGCAGACATACATGCAAGCAGAACACTGCATAATAAATAAATAAACCTAAAAAAAAAAATCACACAATAGACCATAATCTTAACAATCCTATAGGCTATTCAAGGTGAAATGTAAATTGTCAAAAGCAATTTCATGCCCTTGAACCTGGCACCTTTGGAGTAGTTTCATATACTAGGAAAACATCCAACGAACACCTAAATTAGCACTTAAATACAGGTAAACAGCATTTAAAAGTCTGTGTAGCTCTGGCTGGTCTCACAACTCTGATCTGTCCACTTCTAAGTGCTGAGAATAAAGGCGATACCATCTTGCTTGGCTTTATATAAGTAAATGTTAAAAATCTGAAACTTTAGGATGAATCAAGAGCTCAAAAGCAGAAGTGCAGGGATTACAAATACCCCCATCCACGAGGGCTTGGCTCAGGATTTTATAAGTTCCTTACAGATTATAAGCACCCAACATACCCTAGACATGCTAGGGATTAATAATTAAGGCTGCACAGTTCAGCTATTTTACATAACCATTCCAGTAACTCTTCTTAATGGTTGTCTTCCCTAGCAAGCCACCTCACTCAGCTCATCACTCATCTACCTCCATGCCTAGGGCCAAGCAAACAGGATGGGTCCTAGAGCAGGTTCAGATTCGCTTTCCCAAGTGAGAATTCACCCAGCCCCCACCCCTATTCAGCCTCACAGGAACTAACCTCAAGTATAAAGGCCCAGTTCTTAGCATGCTACTAAAAGAAACAGAGACATTAAAACACCTTAGCACACCACACATTGCTTTTGAAACCAGAACATTTATTTTATGACTGACTGAAATCCTCAAGATGAACTGGATGCTGCAACAGCTGCCCTCTTGGGTTTAGGTGTTGTCCCTTCACGGAATCCATGTCTGTGCCATGGTAAAGACAAGAAAAGTTAATGTAGCAACATCAACACATTACTTTCAATTTCATCAAACCTTAGTAAGCTTATCTCAGTTAGATGCTGAAATCAGTATCGAATTCATATGTTCAGACATTTATTTTTAGAACATCACTGATAAGCTATTATTTTATCCCGCTTAACACATTAGATTACAATTTACTGACTCAAAAATAAAGGTCCAACAATTTTGGGCTCACTTCCCCTCCGATTTTCACAAGAACCAAGGTAGTTATAACAGCTATTCCTTATGCTGTAAATAAAGGGCAGGCCCAAATCTTTCCTCAGTGAGAGAAAACAATGACCAAGTTTAGCAGCACCTCTGAAGCTGCTCACCAAGGCGGCTAAATTATGGTTAACTCCTACCTACTCTAGGAACCTCGTTTTCCCAAGCACAGAAAGGTTAAACAGGCTTAAAACAGCCTTAGATTATGAAACATTAGCAAACCACTACACATCAAGCCCATAAAACTCCAATTCCGTAAGTGTAAATACCAACACAAATATTTACAGCCTCACATCGCCTCGTGACCGTCAAAGTTAGGTCCCACTGCAGACTGTGGTTCAAAGCCGCACATCGCCCAAACCGGGTTTTCCTATGGGCAGTCCCCACAACAGACTGTCCCAAACCCCTTGTTTTAGAACCGCTGGAACAGCAGTGATGGAAGCGGCCCAGGTGTACATCTGCGTCATTTTCAACCTTGGTGGAAAATGACAGGGTACGTTCTATAGAAGCAACTGTCCAATCTACAGATCCTGAGGAACAGTCTAAGACGGGGCTGAGAATTCTGTATTTTTACAAAATGCAAAGGCCCAGGAAGAACGAATCAAACAAACAAACAAAAACCCTATCTAGGTTGTCCTGACTGCTGACTAGCACCCAGAACAGCTTTGGATAGTAAAATCCAAAGTGAAGACTGAACCAAGCAAGTAAGCTGCCTGCCAGACCCCATTCGTAGAAAAAAACAAAACAAACAGAAAACAAAAAAAATCAGGCCACAGTATCATTTCTACTATTCACCAGAGTGAGAAGTCACAGGACAACTCTCATCCCCACCCTCGAGAGCCAATGACGTGGAAACAAAAAAAACTGTACCTGAATCTTCGATAGACAATTTTCAGGTGCCTCATCCGCCCAGTCCCGGTAGTGTTTCGTCTCTTAGCCTTGGCACTCCAGTTATCTAATGAAACAAGATTCCAAAGGTTTTTCCAAGCACCCAGTGTCAGCCAATTTCTTCAGAAGCATCATTATAACGTTCTAACCACTTAACCAACATACTGACGGCCCAAGTTCTGTTATGTGCCAAATAACAAAAAAAAGCAAAGGGTTCTCTATCCCATCCCTACCACGGCTCAAGGCAAGGCCAGTCTGAAGATCACGGTACTTACACTTTCTCTTGCGCTTGGCCGGGTAGCCGCACTTGCCACAGGTCGACTTCTGAAGGTGGTAGGCCTTAGAGCCACAGCGGCGGCAAAGCGTGTGCGTCTTATTGCGACGCTTTCCGAAGGATGACGTTCCTTTCGTCTGCACAGGGAAAGCATTAACAGGCCATTTTGAGATCCGACAATTTCTCGACGTGCTCTGGCACTTTCACGGAAAACGACTACTGATGCGATGTAGCGACAATTACACGGGACATAACGGGGGCAAAGCTTTAAGTTCTTCACACAAGGGGGGAAAAAAACCACTACAGGTGATTCACACGATCTAATGCCCCGCTCTGCACGGACGTCTGTGCTTTACACGCTCTTCCGTTTTAAGCGTTCAGGGTGAAGACGACCAAAGAAGGTGCCCGCCTCACACTCCCAGCTCCAGCTTTGCAAAAACACCTCCGGCGTCTCGGCGGTCGGGGTCAAACGTTCCCAAACCCGCCCTAAGCATCCACCCGGCGTCAACAATGCGCTCGTTGCCCCAAATCCCGGAGACCCGCAGCGGCTCTCGGACCGAAAGCTCGGCCCGCCACAGAGCAGCCCTTCTTCGGGCTCCTGCGAGCCACCGCGCGCCCTTTCCTGGCCCAACAGCCCCCCCCTTGCCCGGCATCTTGTCACCCACGCACCGGCAGCAGGCAGGACGGCCCAGGGAGGAAGGATGGAAAGAGATTTACAGAGCCCAGGAACCACACTCACCATCTTGCTTCTGCCGCGGAGGCCAAAGAGACCGGAAGAGGAAGCACTTCCGCTACTCGCCGGGGATAAGCTTCCGCCCGGGGAACTACTTCCGGTGGGCGAGGTGCAGCACTCTCAAGCCTCCGGCGCAGTGGTGTGGTTGGGACGGTAGGGCCAGGGAGCCAATCGAGCGCCGGCGCCGGGAGGGTGCGTGGCTAGCGCGTCCGACTCCACCCTCTTGAGCGCCAGAGGCTCCTCCAGAGAAGGAGGAGGCGTCCAGAGCTGTCTCTGGCCGCTCCGCTGCAGCTTTTGCAGTTCTTCTGCCTCTGTCCCTGTCCGCTGCGGCGTTTGCAGTCCAGTCTGGGCCCACGGCGTGGGTTCCCGTCGCGGGGCTCGAGGGGAGTTGCACATTGTGCGTGACATCGCCCCTGGCCGTGTGTGCAGTGAGCGGCTGGGACTGGGATCCCGATGCCGGAAAGCCAGCCAGCTTCCCAGGTTCGTCTTCATTGGGACGCTCGCTAGCCCTTCCTCCCCGCAAGGGTAGGAACTTAGCCTCCGACTCGGGCAGACTTGTTTTCGTGCAGTAGTAATTCAGAGGCAAATAGTTTGAGCTCATACAAGGAATCGCACTAAACAGTTTGCAGTGCGCTGCCATCAGGAAATCTCATCCTTCAGGCTTGGAGGTCTGTACTGTAAAAATGTTCTCAAGATCGTTCTGAAATTAGTAACTCCAGACTTGCTTGATAAACGCTAATGCATCTGTGGCCCGCAACCTCTTCCAGTACAAAACATGAGGAATATTTACAAACATTTATGAATAGGGGAAATGATCTCGGCCATATCATCTATGTTCTTTCTAAAACAAATGTGAGAATTACTAGTCTATCACATGCAAAATCTTAGCTAATTGACCACGGAACAAGGTGAACACTAAGGAATTGGAAGGTTTTTTTTGTTTGTTTGGTTTTTTTTTTTTTTTTTTTTGCATGTTAAAAAATAGTACTTAAATACTAGTTTCTTCTAGGGGCAGGGAGTCGAAATGCAATTGCATGGTCATTTCCACTCCAAAGTAGTAGACTGGAAGTGGAGGAGGGAGGAGATAGAGCGAACCCGAGAGAAAGAAAACAAACGTTTAAGTGGTTGAACTGAACTATAAATAAGTCTAGGGAGACTGTATGGCAAGTTGCTACAAATTTAGTGGCACAAAGCAACATAGAGTTAGTCAATGGGAACAAAGTTTCAGTTATAGGAAATGATGTCTAGTGTACCTACAGATCACAAAGTTGTATTGCATACTTAAAAATCTTTTTTTTTTTCTTTTGGTTTTTTGAGACAGGGTTTCTCTGTGTAACCGTCCTGTCTGTCCTGGGCTTTGAAAAATAAGATTTGTGAAGAAGGAATAGAATGAGCATGAACCACCAAGGAGCCCACCCCTGAGGGAGATGTCAGTGCCTTTAGTAAACCAAGACATACCTAGAGCTGAAGACATCAGACAGTGAAATATTTTTTTCTTCACCATAATGTGAGGTAGTTCTTTTTGGTGTGCTGGAAACCTGAAATTTATGCTCCAGAGGCTTAGGAAGTCCCTTAGAGTTTCCAGGTTTCTACCCAACAACTAGGTTTAGGTAGGTCAGCATCAGCTGAGCACTATTTTTTCTTGTTTTTCTTTTCATTTTTAAGATAGGGCCAATGGGGGCTGGGGAGATGGCTCAGAGGTTAAGAGCACTGGCTGCTCTTCCAGAGGTCCTGAGTTCAATTCCCAGCAAAGGTCCTGAGTTCAATTCCCAGCAACTACATGGTGGCTCACAACCATCTTTAATGAGATCTGGTGCCCTCTTCTGGCCTGCAGGCATACATGCAGGCAGAACACTATACATAACAAATAAATACTAACATTAAAAAAAAAAAATTTAAAAAGGTAGGGTCTGTGTTACCCTGGCTGGTCTCAAACTTCTGAGGTCAAGTGATCCTCCTGCCTCAGCCTCCCAGGTGCTGGCAGGTAGTGTAGACACATGCTACCACATCCAGTTAGGCCAGTTTCTGAGACAGAGTGATCTGTTTTGTTTTGTTGAGACAAGGTCTCTGTAGCATTGGCTGGCCTGGAACTGGCTATGTAGAACATGCTGGCTGAGAGCTCATAGAGATCTGTATGCTCTGCTTTTGGAGTCATGAAATTAAAGGAGTATGCCATCATACCCAGCTTCAAATTAAGACTTTTGGCCTAGGTGCTCACTCTCTACCATTTTGCTCTTTGGCAGATATAGAAACCATGTTAAAGCCGGGTGGTGGTGGCGCACGCCTTTAATCACAGCATTTGGGAGGCAGAGGTAGGTGGATCTCTGTGAGTTCGAGGCCAGCCTGGGCTACAGAGTGAGTGCCAGGAAAGGTGCAAAGCTACACATAGAAACCCTGTCTCAAAAAAACAAAAATAAATAAATAAATAAATAAATAAATAACCATGTTAATCCTAAATCTTGAATTTAAGATCCTGATAAAAATCAAGTTTTGACCACCAACAATTAGTGGTAGGTCAGTTCCCCCAACTTCCTTTTTGATGAAATTCATGTTTTTTTTTTTTTTTCTGAGAAATATTTTCAGGTAATATTTGATCATGTTTTTCCCTCCCCCAAATTCTTCCCATAGTCTCCTTATCTCCCTACCCATTCAACTTTATATTCTTTTTCTCTCTTCATTTAAAAAAGCAAATGAAAAACAAACAAGAAACGCAACCCCCATCCCCACCAAAAAAAAAAACAAAACCCACAAACATGAAAATCAAATAGATCGGTAAGTCAAAAAATGCCACCTCCTGGGCACGGGGCCTGCTCTGGAGTGTTGATATACCCAGTGTCGCTCCATTGGTGAGAACTGATTTTCCCTTTGCCAGCATTTATCAGTTGCAGGTCGCTTTTTGGTTACGGGTGGGACCCATGTCCACTTCTCCTTCTCAGTGCTAGGACCTCCATCTGGCTTGAACCTGAGCAAGTCTTTCGTGTGCTGCCACAGCCTCTGGGAGTTCATATGCGCATCAGTCCTGTTGTTTCTGGAAGAGTTTCCTTGGAGTCATCCATCACGTCTAGTACATGCAATCTTTCTGCCTCCTCTTCCAGATAGATCCCTGAGCCTTGATAGAAGGGATTTGAGGAAGACATCCATTTAGGGTAGTGAACTCCAAAGTCTACATTCTCTGCACATTGTCCAGCTGTCTCTGTTAGTTCCCATCTACTGCAAGAGGAAGGTTGTCTGATGTGGGCTGAGCAAGGCACTGATCTGTGGCTATAGCAATATGTCATTAGGGGTCATTTTATTGCTTTGCTCCTTTAGCAGAATAATAGTAGATTTTCCCCTAGGTCCGTGACCTCTCTGGTTTCAGGTTCTTGGCAACTCAGGCATTGTCAGATATTGGTACCATCTCTTGGAGTGGGCTTTAAAGCCCAAGAGAAGGTTGGTTATTCCTATGACAATGGTGCCACCATTACACCGGTATATCTTCCAGGCCAGTCACTGCTGTAAGTCACAGGCTATGTAGCTGGGTGATGATTGCCTTTCTCCTCTGGTAGTGTGCACAGTATTTCCAGTGCTGTCAATACTAGTTAATAGGGGTGAAGCTTCTGCTTGCTCATCACCTTGACTTCTCTATGTTTGATGACATAAGTGATTTGGGAGGCAGAGGCAGTTGTATCTCTGTGAGTTTGAAGCCATCCTGGTCTACACAATGAGTTCCTGGACAGCCAGGGTTTCAGTAGAGAGACCCTGTCTCAAAAAATTCATTTAAATTAAAAATTATGTTATGTGTATGAGTGTTTTGCCTCCATGTGTGTATGTACACCACACGCATGCCTGGTGCCAGCAGAGTTCAGAAGAAGGCATTGGAGTTCCTGGAACTGGAGTTATGGTTGGTTGTGAGCCACTATGTGGGTCCTGGGAATCAAACCTGGGTCCTCTGTAGTACCAGTAAATGCTCTTAACTGTTGAGACATCTCTCCAGCCCTAAAATATATTATTGTTTAAAGTACGAAATATAAACCCATTCATAATCTCATCCTCAGAAATAGCCAGTATTAAAATTTGGAGTATCTCTTGATTATCTTATAAAAATATTTTCTATATGTGTGTATATGTGCCTATACATATGCTGTGCGCATATTTTTATTTTTTTTTCCTGAGATAGGATCTCACTCTGACACCCTGGCTGGCCTGGAACTTGGTATGTAGACCAGACTGGCCTCCGACTCAGAGAGATCTCTGTCTCTGCCTTCCTAGTGTTGAGGTTAAAGGCATGTGGCACCATGCCCAGCTTACATACTGGTTTGTTTTTTTTGTCTGTTTATTTTTTGAGACAGGGTCACAGTATATAGCCCTGAATAGCCTGGAGCTCTCTATGTAGACCACATTGGCCTCGAATGCACAGAAATCCGTCTGCCTCTGCCTCCCAGTGCTGGGATTGAAGGCGTACACTACCATGCCCAGCTTGTTTCTTTTCTTTTTCTTTTTCTTTTTTAAAAGGGATCTATAACTTGCTATTTTCCAAAATATTATGTGAGTATTATCATTTATCAAGTTCTACTTTATCCTTTTTAACAGTCTAGTAGGAAGCTGGAGAGATAGCGTAGCAGTTAAGAACACTGGCTGCCCTTCCAGGGAACCAGGATTCAATTCCCAGCACACACATGACGTCTTACAAATAAATAAAATCTTAACAGTTCACTAGTTCTTTGGTGGACCAGGGTGTGGTGGCACACTCTTTTAATTCCGGCACTCAATCTCTGTGAGTTCAAGGCTAGCCTGGTCTACAGAGTGAATTCTAGGACATCCAAGCCTGTTACATAGAGAAACCCTGTCTCAAAAAGACCATATATATATATGTTTGGTATTTTACTGTTATCATTTATTTCATAGAGCCCTAACTTATGGAAATGTAGGTTATTTTTTATTTTATGCTATTATAGTTTTGGAATTTTTATATGTACATTTTTTGGCATGTATCTAATATTTTCTTTAAAAATTTTTTAGATTTATTTTAATTTTGTTATATATTTGAGTTTTTGCTTGTATGTATATATGTGTACCATGTGTGGTGTATGCCTGGTGCCCATGGAGGTCAGAAGAGGGAGTTATATCCCTTAGAACTAGATTAATGGATAGTTCTGAGCCACCATTTTGTGAATGCTGAGAGCTGAACCCCAGTCAGGTCTTCTTTAAGAGTAACAAGTGTTCTTACTGCTAAGCCATCTCTCCAGACCCTGAATTTCCAAGGTGGGATTGCTGGATTGAAAGTTACACATTTTAAATCTTTATTTAACTCTATTATTTACCTGCATATTGAAGATTGCTCTCGATCAATTACATT